CTACACTGATACACTCATCACCTTGGCTGTTCCTTACTATTCTATCCATGTACAACACAAACACGGTAGGGGACAGGACGCAGCCTTATAGAAAATCAATGCCAAAACTGAAAGCTTGTGACATAACGCCATTTCATCTGACTCAGCATCTGCTCTCAGCGTAGAATAATTGCGTGGCCGTGGCTCGTAGCACCTAGTCATTGATCCCATATGTTTGCAGGCATGCGCACAGACTGCTGCGCGGGATCCGGTCATGGGCTTCCCCTAGGTCTACAAAGTACCTGTACAACGAATGGGCAAAATCACGCGGTTTCTCAGCAATCTGACGTTGGGCTAATATATAGTCAGAGGTGCTTTGACCGAGCCGGAAGCCGCACTGCACTTCTGTCTTTGGGTCACCTATTCCGCGACACTTCCTTTTCTAGCAACTTTGCATAAACTTTACTCGGGAGGCTCAATAATATAATAATGCCATGGTAATTAGAGCACTCCTTGTGGTCTCCCTTCTTGAATGTGGATGCAGTAATTCCCGTTCTCCACTCCGCTGGTGTTTTGCCCGCAGCCATTGCAGTTTGAGAGACAGGTGTAAGCCAGTGCTTGCCCTGTTCGCCTGTTGCTTTGAGCCTGTTTCTTTAACGAACTTCATCTATTCCATCAGGCTTTCTACTTTTCAGGCCTTTCACGTCTTGTGCGATTTCATCTATAAGAATATTATCCGTTCCCTGCTGCTCTTCAGGCGAGTTTTGCTGCGGTTCCTCGAGTTAAGGAGTTCGATAAAGTAATCTATGTAATCTTTCCATCGCTAAGGAATGTCCTCATTCTCCGTAGGAGACTATTCAGACTTGTCCTTCAAGACTCTTTGGCAGCCCTTCTTTTCATTTCATAACCGGCAGATGGTGTATCAGTATACTTTGCTTACCGTTTGGAAATCTGCTCCAGCATCTCATCGAACTTCTCTCATCAGCTTTGGCTTTCGCTGCCGCTTTCGCTGCAGCCCTGATGTTTCTACATACCATTCGCGAGTTCAAGGCTCTTTGCTTCCTAGCCATTTTTTGAATGCAACCTTCTTCTCACTGACTGTCAGTTGTACCACTCTTTTCCACCAGAAAGTTTTTTTCATACATCCAGGCGGCAGGCCAACCCGTTTAAATCCGCTGCATTCATTCGGCGGAACCCGGAGTGTGCTTCTGTTAAAAATCTCCCACTCTGTTTCCATAGCAGTGGTCATCATTAAGATCTGCTTAAACCGTCGTGCGATGTTGTTTGCAAGTTTCTCTCTCCTATCCGCTGAAAATAATGTTTCCCATTTGATTCTCAGGTTGCTTCTGCCACCAGATCTTCGTTTCGTGTTCCATTTCTTACAGCACAGTGTGCCAACAACAAGGTGATGATCAGTTGATAGCTCTGCGCCTCTCTTAACTCGAACATCCATTACTGAGCATCTTAGGCAGACGATACGGTTATGAAATCGATCATCGACTTCTGTGCACAAGCTTCCCGGTATCAGATGTATCGATGGACTCTTCGATGCTCAAAGAGTCCATCGATATTAACGGTGTTCATAATAGACAATCCGTTGTTTGCACAAAACCGCAACAACTTCATGCCGTTGTTGTTGAGGTCGCTAGGGCCGTTTCTCCCAATTACGCCGTTCCAATTTTCAACGTCTACTCCGACGTGCGCATTAAAATCGCCCATCAGTATGAGGGACTCTGTATTCGGCACTT